GTAATTATTTCACAATATATACATATATCAAAATATCATGTTGTACACCTTAAATATATACTAGTTTTATTTAAAACTAATATATATTTATTTTTAATTTTTAAAAATGTTTCATTATCTTTATTGTTGAGACCAATACAGATGTCCCCCTTTTAACCCCACTGATCCCCTCCACCCCACATCCATCCCACCCCCAGGCCCTCCTCACACCAATGTCCGTGTCCATGGGCCATGCCCATAAACTAATATATTCTTAAATAAATATATTTTAAAGCTTTTAAACTTTAAAAGAAAAGTCTGTCCTCACTTCCCCCTCAGTATAAACCACAATCAATTCAATGATTCAGCAATAAAATATCCAGGATCTAGATGACCCAAATCCTCTTTCTTCCATTTCTGCCCCTTCGTGACCTCTGGGCTTCTTTCAGCTTGAATGTATCTCTTCCATAGTGGAAACAAAATGCCAGGAATGAAACCACAAATGGACCTATTTAGCTTCCTGTGACTTGTGGTGAGCAATAGCTTCAACAGAGAAAGGGGCTGAAATCACTGGCAGAAGTAAGGAGTTTCTGTGACCCATTTCAGTTCATGGGACTATAGATGCCATGAGCCAAGCTGGAATGGGCTATCTCTGCCCATCCCCAAAGGCTTGCCCAAGCTTGGGAATTTCATGCCCACCAGGTTGAGAACTCACTGAAAACAAAGACCACTTCCTACTCATCTTTGGAAGGTAACAGAGAAAGGCAGAGGAAACACTGGGCTGAGGAGTACAAAGACGAGGAGTTGAATCTTAAACTTTCTACTTAGCAGCATTGTGACCTTGGGCATATTGCCTAAAATCCTCCAAACCTCGGTTTCCTCACTGTACAAATGTGGATAGTGACACTTATATCAGAAAGCTGTTGTAAAGATTAAATGAGAGAACATAGTAAACCTTCTAGCACAGTCCTGGCACAGAGAAGACACTCAGTACATGGGCTCCGTTAGCTCTGTCCTTGTGATTCCCAGCACTGGTCTAGTGCCTCACACAGGGCAGGTCCTCAGTGAACCATGAAAGGAAAAGTTGTTTTCCACATTTTCAAACGGGAAGGCTGAGCATTAGCTTTTTATACCAGCAGCTGCAATGGTGACCCCCTCCCCCACAACACACACACACACAGCCAGAACAACCAAAACAGTCAACTCCTTGGTGTTTTGGGATTTTACCTGAAACTGTTGTTCTTTCCGGGACTACTTAGTAACTTCCTGCTCTCTAAGGGGAACTTGTCTCCCCCCATGTCTAACATTTTCTCAGCCTCCTGGAAGAAAAGGAGACATTATTATATCTTGGACCAGGTAAAACCGTAAGTCTACACCAGTCCATTTTTTTCTATCACCACAATGTCTACCTAATTTTTCTCACATTTATTATAAAAAAGTATAATTATGTTCTTTCCTAGAATTCGCTCATCACAAAAAGAGAGACTACTAAATATCTGTACCCATGGAATAGTATTTTTTTTAAATCCTGAATTTGAATAAGCCTCTAGATCCAACTACCATACCAATTTACTGGAAGCACAGAGGACAGATGAAAATGTTAAATGACACAAGGACACATTTAGTAAAATCTAAATGGTGGGAAACCCTATAGGTCAAAGACCCAGTTTCTTCAGCAAAAAGTAAAGGGACAGAAGGGGAACTCCTAAAGAGTTTTAAGAAACATATCAACCAACTGCAATATATGGATCATATTTGGATCCTGATTCAAACATATTATTAAAAATAATCATAAGGCAATTGGAGGAAATATGAATACTGAATATTCTTTCTACTTTTGTATATGCTTGAAATATTCCAAAATAAAATGTTTTCTTAGAAATAATTCCATTAATACAAAGGAAATAATTATAGAGAAAAATATGTACAGAGATGTTTAAATTAGTATAATTAATAATAAAACCTAAAACTATAAACTTTAACAAAGGAAGAATGTTTAGATTATTAGATATTATAGAATATTATGCAGCCATTAAAATAATAAATATGAGCCCTGGCCTGTGTTGCTCAATGGTTAGAACATCAGCCTGAAAACCAAAGGGTTGCTGGTTCCATTCCCCATCAAGGGCTCTGGGTTACAGGTTCGATCCCCAGTCCTGGTCGAGGTGCACGCAGGAGGCAACCAATCGATGTGTCTCTCTCACATCGATGTTTCTCTCTTTCTCTCTCTCCCCCTGCTCCCTTCCACTTTCTCTAAAAATCAATGGAAAAAATATCCTTGGGTGAGGATTAACAACAACAAAAAAGAACAAATATAATTCTTTATTGTATGGACACACAGAAACATGCAAGTGTCATAAAATCAAGTTAAGGGGGGGGAATAAGAATATATATACCCCCCCAGAAACAAATATACAATTATTACACTTATGTGAAAACTATGTTAAGGATTTAAAGAGAACGTAAAGAAATAAACATAAATGTTGAATGCTAACATGAAATTTTGTGGTGAAATCTTCAATTTTTTTTTTTTTTTTTTAATCTTCACCCAAGGATATTTTTTCCATTGCTTTTCAGAGAAAGAGAGAGAGGAAAAAAACACTGGTATGAGAAAGACACATCAGTTGGTTGCCTCCCACATGTGCCCCAGCCAGGGATGGAGCCTGCAACCAAGGTATGTGCTCTTGGCCAGAATCAAACCTGGGACCCTTTGGTTTGTGGGCCAACACCCTAACCACGGAGCCAAACCAGCTAAGGCAAAATCTTCATTTTTTTCATTTGATTTAGTTTTAAAATAATTTTATAAAGAATTTTTGGGAAGTAAGGAGTATAATGTTTACTAGCCACCTTATGTTTAACATCCAAAAGACATCCCTTGATTTTCATCTCAAATCTGCCGTTCCTTGCTCTTCCCCATATTAATAGCACAACCATTCATCTAATTGTTTCTCCAAAAATCTAAGTGGTGTCCTTCATTCGTCTCTCACCCATCCTCACTATAGTTAGCAAAACCCATCAGCTCTATCTTCAAAATAAGCCCCCAAACCAGCCATTTTCATCAACTCTCCCTTAGCCTAAGCCACCATCACCTCTTGCCTGAACTATTGCCAAGAGATAACAGATGCTGGCAAAGATGTGGAAAAAAGGGGACCCTTGTACACTGTTGGTGGGAATATAAATTGGTACAGCCACCGTGGAAGACAGTATGGAGGTTCTTAAAAAAACTAAAAAAGAACTACCATGATCCAGCAATTCCACTTCTGGGTATATAGCCAAAGGAAATGAAATCACTATCTCAAAGTGGTATCTGTACCCCCATGTTTACTGCAGCATTATTTACAATAGCCAAGACATGGAAACAACTTAAGTGTCCATCAATAGATGAGTGGATAAAGAAAGGTTATTACACGCACATACACACACACACACAGGGATATTATTCAGCCATAAAAAGGAAATCCTGCTGTTTGCAACAACATGAATGAATCTTGAGGACATTATGTTAAGTGAACTAAGTCAGGCAGAGAAAGACAAATACTTTATGATCTCACACGTGGAATCTAAAAAAACTGAAGTCATAGAAATAGAACACATTGGTGGTTACCAAGGGTGGAGGTTAGGTGGGGGAAATGGGTGAAGGTAGTCAAAGGGTACAAACCTTCAGTTATAAGATGAATAAATTTTTCTGGGGATATAATGTACAGCATGGTGACTATACTTGACAATACTGTATTGTATATTTGAAAATTGCTAAGAGAGATTTCAAAGTTCTCACCACAAAGAAATAATTGTGACTATGTGAGGTGATGGATGTGTTAACTAATGCTATTGTGGCAATCATTTTGCAATGTATACATATATCAAATCATTATGTAGTACACCTTAAACCTATACAATGTTATATGTCAATTATATCTCAATAAAACTAGAAAAAATAATACAAGATTTTTGAAATTCAAGATATATTTTAAAAAGTCCTTTAAAATGCATTGCAAAGGACACTATTTCAAGCACTAAGTGTACTTGGAAACACTTTCCAACTCAGTTCTTGGTCTGGTATTTTCATTTTGCTACACATCCATTCTTTGAACATAGAGGCCACTGACTGAGGGTCCATTGTATGGATGGCAGATGCCAAGTGCTGAGGGAAATACAGAAGGACAGAAAGTACTATGCAAGTTATCTTTGCATGGTGCCAACCACAACATCATCTGCAATTAGGTACATAACAAATACTCTCAGAAAATAACAGGTTTTGTATACTTATCAAATTAGACCTTTTGGGAAAACATGACCCATTAGATCTGATAAAAGCAGATTTTATGTTTATATTCTAAGTGTGAATCTGGTGAGTAGACTGTAGACAAACCAAAAAACAACTGGTTATCAAATCCAAAAATGAAGGACAAACAGAGACAAGAATTCTTAATCCTTTCTCAGCTGAGAACAGCTCTGGAGAAATCTTCCCAGCTCCCAGATATAACCCTTGGGATTCCAGACATGCTGACTTTTCCTGTGGCCCTTCCTATGTTTGGTAATTTAAGGCTGCCCCAAATGTACAGTTAGTGCAAGAACTATGACCTCTTCCTCCTTGGCCTTCTTTTTGGCATCATCCAACTTCTTCTTTTTGCTTTCAGGCATGAGATCATCTAACCAGCTCAGCTCTCGCTTAGAGAAACAGAGATCCATGACTTTCCTGACAAAGACCAAGGCCAAAACCTGAAGAAAAATAAAAAAAATACATTAAAGGGACTCATTTACTTCCTGGAGTTAAGAGCAAAATCTTATTTTCATAGCAGACTAGGACATTTCCTGTTAAATCAAACTCATAATAATCATGATAGTTGCCTTCTACTGACTGCCCTCTTTGTACCAGATACTAAGGTAAGTGTTTTATATACAGTATTTTACTTAATTTTCATAACAACTTAGAGAGCAACTAATTTAATTCTCTCATTAAAAAAAAAGCCTTGAAGTAAGAGAAACAACAAGATGGTGGTGTAGGTAACCACAGTACCTGCCACTTCCCACAATCATATCAAAATTACAACTAAAATACAGAACCACCATCATTCAGAACCTCCTGAAATCTACCTAAACAGAAGTCCTACAATGAGGGAACTAAAGAAGCATCGAGATGGGTAGGAGGGGCAGAGAGATGGAGCAGAACTGCAGAGACACAGCGATGGTCCCACACCCAGGTGCCGCGGTTTAAGCCCGGGAGGGATATCTCAGCGGTGGAGGTTTCTCAGAGGAGCAAGGAGTCCCAGCCTCACATCAGGCCCCCCAGCCCAGGGTTCCAGTGCCGGGAAGAGAAGTCCCCACAACTTTGGGCTGTAAAAACCAGCGGGGATTGTGGCGGAGGCTGTGGGAGTCCCAGGCAGCTCCTCTTAAAGGGTCGGCACCTCGACTTACTCAGACACGCTCCCTCTGAGCTCCAGCACTGGGCAGCAGCTTGAAAGGAACCTGGGATATTCGGGGAGGAATTAACTTGCCTGGAATCAGGATGGGAGCTGGAGGGGCAGCTTTCTCACAGACAGAGGAGCTGGCAGAGGTCATTGCTCCTTTGGCAAGCCCTCCCCACACAGAGCTGGCAGGCAGGCACCATATATGAATCTCTAGCACCTGACTCACACCTTTGGCCTTGCCCTTGCGATTCCCAGAGACCCCGCCCCTCCCTACGTGCAAGCTCATCCAAGCCATTTCCAGGGGCTTTTCTATGCAAGTGGCCTCTCTAGTTTCATACTTGGGACTTTCCTAAAATCTAGTTTCATGCTTGGGACTTTCCCAAACAAGCAGCAGCTGGCCTCAGCATGCCCCATATGTCTTGGTAAGTGGCCCCAGACCTGGCACTAGTGGCAGCCTGCATTGGTTCACAGCTTGGCCTCTCCTGGACACCTCCAAGCCCAGCACAAGTAGCAGCCAACAAACTGCTGTGTAGCTCATGCTGGGTGGCCCTGGGCAAGGCACAGGCAGAGGCTGACTTTGCACCTCCAGGGAGGCTCCAGAGACAGTGCACCTGGTGGTCAGACTTGACCATGCTGGATTACAACCCTACCACATCCACGAATGACACACTCAAGGGGTGAACTTGGTGAACACCAAAGCTCCACTGACGTAAATCCTGCTCCACAGGGGAGTCTCCAGCACAGCAGCTCTTTGGCTGTAGTTGCAGTTTTGTCCTCACAGCCGACTAGTCTGGGGTCAATTCCTCCCAGTGACGCCAACAACCACCAAGGCTCAACTACAACAGGACAGTGCACACAGTTCAGTCCACACAGGGGAGCATTTAGAAGGCCCAGCTCAGGTGACTGGGGAGGCTGAGCCACTGGGCCCTACAGGACACCTACTACACAAAGCCACTCTACCAATTCCAGGAGACATAGCAGCTCTACCTAATACAAAGAAACAAACACCAGGAAGCAGCCAAAATGTAGAGGCACAGAAACATGTCACAAAGGAAAGAACAGAAGAAATCTCTAGAAGAGGAACTAAATGAAATAGAGCCAAGCAAGCTACTAGATACAGAGTTCAGAATAATGGTTATAAGGATCCTCAAGGATCTTAGATCTTAATAAGACTATTAAAGAAACTAGTGAGATCATTAATGACATAATAAAGAACCAGTCAGAAATGAAGGCTACACTAACTGAAAGGAAGAATAATTTACAGGGAATCAACAGTAGAGTAGAGGATGCTGAGAGTCATATCAGCAATTTGGAATATGAGGAAATAAAAAACACCCAATCAGAAGAGCAAAAAGAAAAAAAGAATCCAGAAATATGAAGATAGTATAGGAGTCTCCGGGACAACTTCAAGTGGCCCAACATTCGCAATATGGGGATACAAAAGGAGAAGAAAGCAAGCAAGAAATCGAAAAACTATTTGAAAAATAGTGACAGAAAACTTCCCCTACCTGAGGAAAGAAAAAGACTTACAAGTCCAAGAAGCACACAGAGTCCCAAACAAGAGGAACTCAAAGAGGCCCACAGCAAAACACATCATAATTAAAATGCCAAAGGTTAAAGACAAAGAGAGAATCTTAAAAGCAGCAAGAGAAAAGCAATTAGTTACCTACAAGGGAGCACCCATAGGACTGTCAGCTAATTTCTCAACAGAAACCTTGCAGGCCAGAAGGGAGTGGCAAGAAATATTCAAAGTGATGAAAAGCAAGAACCTACAACCAAGATTGCTCTACCCAGCAAAGCTGTCATTTAGAACTGAGGTCAGATACAGAGCTTCACAGATAAGAAAAAGCTAAAGGAGTTCATCACCACCATACCAGTACTACATGAAATGTTGAAGGGTCTCCTGTAAGAAGAAGCTAATGAACAAAAGGATCTGACAAACAAAACAGACCCAGAGACATTGAAGCATGCAACAGACTGTCATACCTCAGAGGGAAGAGGGAAGAGGGAAGAGGGAAGAGGGAAGAGGGAAGAGGGAAGAGGGAAGAGGGGTGAGGGGAGGGAAGAGATTAACCAAGGAAGTTAATATGCATAACCCATGGACATAGACAATAATGGGGTGAAGGCCAGGGGAGGGGGTTGGAGTGAGATGGAGGGGTTCAATGGGGGAAAAAATGGGATACCTGTAATACTTTCAACAATAAAGATGAATTTTTAAAAAAAGAGAGAAAAAAGCCTCCATTTGCAGATGGCCCAAAGAGTTGACTTTCCCTGGCTTGGGGCCAGCAGGAAGGGCTACAGGGAAGCATGGGAGTGGAGAGCCTCTGCAGGAACAGGGCCATGGTGGGCCAGTTACGAACAGCCCAAGCATGCCTCACCAAGGGGTGAGGGGACCTTGACAGCCTGGATTCCCTCTAATCCTTTGCCTTTACGTTTTCCCACAAAATCCTTGTTTTATGCCCTGCATCATGGATCTGTAGTGGTTTTTGTCTTTGCACTTTGGCCTGGTCTGATAGTCATTTTATAAGTGGAAAACTGAGGCCCAGAGAGAGAAAGTAACTTGCCTAAAATCTGACAACTAATTGCCTCAATAGAAACAGCTCAGGATGTCTCATTTGCTGCTTCATTTTGCCCCATAAGGGCCATTTTAGCCAAAGGAGAACAAATAACCCAGAACGACCTGCCTGGATTGATTGGTGTTCACCAGCTACCTCTGGTGGCTAGAGAAAGAACGAGGCAAATTGGGCTTATGAAATTCAACCACATTTCTCTTCAGGAGAGGCTATATCTAGGAGGCTAGAGTTAAAAAAAAAAACCCTCCAGTTTCCTCACCCGTAAATATTCTCTCATTTAGACAGAGTTCAAAAGTACCTAAACAGGTACCAAACATTATCCTCATTGCCTTTTCCCTCTAGAGGCCCACCTTTTGGGTAACTTTCAAACAGCCCACTGAATTCTCAGCTTCCTCATGACACAGAGCCAGAGAAAGGAAGGCATCAAGAGGAGGCGATGAAACAGTCAGGTGGCAAGAATTTCATCACCACCCTGGATTTAGAAAACAGCCTGTTACCTGTTGCACCACACACAGTTCAGTTTCTCTAGTCTTCTTTCCAAAGCCCTTGCTTCAGTTAGAAAAGAGGTAATACTGTCCCAGTCACTTAGTGCTAGAGCAACCTTTTCCTCTCTCCCAGAGGCTCAAAAGAGTGCATTTCTTCCACTTTAAGCACTTCTGATTGCAATAAATTCTAAATTGGAACTCTACTACTTTGAAGCAACATGCAAATTATTGCAAACATGAGGAATCCTTTCCATGTCAGATTCACAAAAGAAAGTAAGGGGGGGAGGGAGGAAGGAAGAAAGAACAGGCAGACTGGTGGCTTGGAAAGTAAATATGGCAAACTGTTACACACTTGTACCCACACCTCAAGGTCCCCAAAATAATGTTGCTCCTACAAAGACCAACCAAAAAACAAAACCTCACCAATAAGGGATTGATATCCAGATTTTATAAAGAACTCCTAAAATTCAACAACAAAAAAAACAAACAGCCCTGGTCAGTGTGGTTCAGTGGCTCGAGGACTGAACTGCACATCAAATGGTCATGGGTTCGATTCCAAGTCAAGGGCACGTATCTGGGTTGCAGGTTCAACCCCTAGCCCTCGTCGGGGTGCATGCAGGGGGCAACCAATCAATGTGTCTCTCTCACATCAATGTTTCTCTTTTTCCCTCTCTCTTTCTCTACCTCCTCTCTCCCTCCCTTCTACTCTACTCCCTTTAAAAATCAATGGAAAAAATATCCTCGGGTAAGGATTAACAAAAAAACAAACAACCCAATTTTTAAAATGGGCAAAGAACTTGAATAGGCATTTCTCCAAAGAAGATATACTAATAACCAATAATCACATGAAAAGATGCTCAACATTATTAATCATTAGAGAAATGCAAATCAAAACCACAATGATACCACTTCATACCCATTAGGATGGCCATTATAAACACACACACACACACACACACACGCACACACACAAAACAGACCAAAAAACAGAAATTAAGTGTTGGCAAAGATGTGGAGAAATTGAAATCCTGTGCACTGCTGGTAGAAATGTAAAATGGTGCAATCGCTATGAAAACCAGTGTGACAGGCCCTCAGAAAATTAAAAATGGAAGTACCAATATGACCCAGAAATCCCACTTCTTGGTATTTACCCAACAGAACTAAAAGCAGAGACACAAACAGGTATCTGTTTCCCGTTACCATTATTCACATAGTCAAAGCATTATCCACAAGAGCCAAAAAGTGGAAGTAATCCAAGTGTCTATCGACAAATGAATAAACAAAATGTGGTCTATATACATAACGGGATATTATTCATCATTTAAAAAGGAAAGAAGTTCCTACACATGTTACAACGTGGATGAACCTTGAAGACATGTTAAGTGAAAAAAGCAAATCACAAAAGGACAAATACTACAGGATTCCACCCACATGAGGTGCTAGAGTAGTTAAATTCAGAGACAGAAAGTAGGGTGGTGGTTACCAAGGGCTGGTGGGTGGAGGGAGTGGAGAATTATTGTTTAATGTGTATGGAGTTTCAGTTTTGCAAGGTTAAAAAAGTTCTGGAGGTGTATGGTGGCAATGTGAATGTACTTAAAAATGGTTAAGATGGTAAATTTTATGTCGTGTATTTTATCACAATTTTTTAAATAAGTAATAACTTTTTAGAACTCACCATCATTGGAAAGACAATGGCAGCTGGAGATGCCTTGATGACCCAGAGCAGGACCAGGCAGGTCAGCTGGATGAGGGTAAAGAGGTGCACTTTGCGGAGTGGCACGTGCCGGAGGTAAATGAAATCTGGCTGGTGCTTTGCAGGCATCCCGAAGAGCTTCAGCCGATCAAAGAACTAAAAGAAAGGGACTAGAATTTATTTCCAGGAAGTTTCTCTGGGTCAGAAACTTGTCAGGCCCATTCATACCTCTTACATCACCTGCTTTGAAAGGTAGACAATACTATTTCCACTAGACAGAATGGAAACAGTCTCAGAACAGGTTATTTGGCTAAGGTTGGTAAGTGGCAGAGTCAAATTTAAAATTCATCTTAAATTCTGGGTTCAAATTTCTTTTTCCTATCCCACACTGTGGCTCCTAAGAGAGCTCTTTCTCAGGGAGTGTTGAAAATAAGGCAATTGCATCTTTCTCTCTATTATCAAAACCAAATCTCTTCTGGCTATTGGAGGAGTTTGGAGATTCTCATTATTTATAGTAAATACATAAAATGAAACCTGATAACATTATTATTTATAGTAAAGACATAAAATGAAACGTCATAACATTCTGGATATAGAAAATATGGCTATCCTTATATTATAAAATGAAAAACAGGCCCAGAGAGATTAAATAACCTCTCCAGAGTCACATTACAATTCAGTGTATAAGAATGACCACTGGACATTCCATAAAAACAAACAGGAACCAGCCACCAAGAGTAGAAGCAGATAAGTCATATCATCTGGGGTACCCAAGTAATCAGGGACAAGCTCCTGAGTTTCTCTGTTCAAAGGACTCAGAGGAATGAATAGATGGGAAATGGCAGAGTATGCCAGGAAGTACTATCTGCTTACCTGGAGAAGCTCCCACTGCTCCCCAATCTCTTCACCAAAGTACCCCAAGTTAAACCCCTGTCTCACACTTTAGCCTGGCACTAAAACTATCACTGTTCATGTTTGGAAGCCAGTTTGGTTCTTGACCAACCTTTCATATCTAAGTTCACCAGCCTTAATAGCTGACAAAGCACCTATTATTTAATGTGTGGCTAATAAGTGTCTGTTGAAAAAGATGACAAATGACTGGAATCATGACGTCAGGCCAGGCTACTGTGTAAGTCCCTATACCCTCATGCCAACATGGCTCTATTTTTCCCAGTGTCCAAAGAAATGTCTAAAATAGCTTAACCAGCAAGACTAGGAAAAGGTTTCTCAAGAACTAGTTTGTGCTGGAGCTGTCCCACCCTGGTCAGGACAAGTGAGCTCACAGTGAGAAGACATTGCACTGGCTGAGCCATATGATACCTGAATTCCCTGTAGAGAAGAGACTCCCATGTAGAGGAAGACTCCGTAGAGCACTGGCATAGGGATGAACTAAAGACAAAGGGCAGAAAGACCAGAGATTACACTTGGTATCAGCACACTCAAGACTATAACAACTTTCACATCTCCAAGAAGGAAGTAGTCACAAAATCACAACATAAACATTGCATTAGTTTCTGCTGCTTTTTCGTGATGTAGAAGTAGAAGCAAAATAAGCTGACTACGATAAAAATCCCTTTGTTCTGAAATGAAATGATTACATGTAAGTGTAATCTCGTCCTGGTTAAATCATAGGCCTCGTGTCTTACCCACATCTGGCTCTTCCTCCTCTGTGGGGATGGGGTTACACACACACACACACACACACATACACACACACAAACACCTCTTTGTTTTTTTACTAGTGAGAGAGGAAAGGTGTATTTTTTTCATTTTTTAAATTTTATTTTTTGCCCGGCTGGGCGTGGCTCAGTGGTTGAGCGTTGACCTGGGATCCAGGTGATTGGGGTTCGATTCCTGGTCAGGGCACATGCCCAGGTTGCGGGCTCAGTCCCCAGTCGGGGGCGTGCAGGAGGCGGCCAATCAATCACTCTCTCATCATTGATGTTTCTATCTCTCTCTCTCCCTCTCCTTTCCTCTCTCTGAAATCAATATATATTTAAAAAAAAAATTATTTTTCAATAATAGTTGACATTCAATATTATTTTATATTAGTTTCAGGTGTACAGAATAGTGGATAGACAATTATATAATTTATGAAGTGATCCTCCTGGTAATTCTAGTACCCACCTGGCACCATATATAGTTATTATAATATTATTGACTATATTCCCTACGCTATACTTTACATCCCCATGACTATTTTGTAACTACCATTTAGAACTTCTTAATCCCTTCACCTTTTTCTCCCTGCCCCCCAACCTCTATCCCATCTGGCAACCTTCAGTTTGTTCTCTGTATCTATGTGTGTTTCTGTTTTGTTTGCTCATTTATTTTGTTCTTTAGATTCTATATATAAGTGAAATCATATCATATTAGTCTTTCTCTGTCTGGTTTATTTTGCTCAGCATAATACCCTCTAGGTTCATCCATGCTGTCACAAATGGTAAAACTTCATTCTTTTTTATGGCCAAGTAAGATTCCATTGTATATATATACCAAAGCTTTTTTATCCACTCATCTATTGATGGGTACTTGGGCTGCTTCCGTATCTTGGCTATTGTAAATACCATCTCCTTAGACAGGCCTTTTCTAACCACACTAACTAAAACAGTACCCCTTTAATTCTCTATGGCACCATAGGCCACTATATACTCCCTTTTATCATTTATATTCTCTAATTATTATGTTTCTTTTCTTTTTTTAAAAGATTTTTTAAATTGATTTTTAGAGAGAGAGGAAGGGAGAGGGAGAGAGAGAAACACTGATGTGAGAGCAAAACATCAGTCGGCTGCTTTGCACCCTATTGGGGATCAAGCCTGAAACCTGGGCATGTGCCCTGACCAGGAATTGAACTGGCAACCTTCTGGTGCACAGGACGACACCTAACCAAGTAAGCCACACCAGCCAGGGTTTGTTTGTTTTCTTAATTAACTTTCTTAACTACATCTTATTTATCTTACCCCATTAGAATAAGCTCTTTCTTATTTTCAAATCAGGCACTCAATATATTACCTAACGAGTAAATGAATGATTACCTTTAATATAGTCGTCATGAAGACTGAGCAGCCCATCAGCACAAAAATCATAAGGCCTGTCACTCTCTGTTCTCGGATGCCCAAGAACTTGGGCTGTTCTCCAGGAGCAGAGCACTCGGATTCCAGTTTGAGGCTGTTCACATGTGTGATAGACAGGACAGTTGCAGCCACAAACCAGGGCAGGCCCATGATGGAGCAGACGCCCAGCATGATGGCTACCATTAGCAGGTCCAGGTGGTAACCACAGCCTTTCTGTGGGGAAACAGAGTCTCCATCACCATCAGTCTGGCATAGATCAGTGAGCTAAGAGTATTCCAGCCCCTCCTGGTTTGGAGGGAACAGAGAAGAAAAAGGGAAACTTTAGCCTGTCTAAAACATGCCAGTATCCATTCTTTATGCAAGTGCCCTCAGATTTCACTTTGATTCTCACACATTCAAAGATTCATCCTTTCTTGGCAGAGTAACCAGAGATCAAGACACATTTTGACTATTCTAGATGGTAGACACTATAGAGGTTGAAGATAAATACTCTTATTGGGTTCCTATAAACACCCCCTGGATCCTTGCCAAATTTGCATGTTGCCTACTATAAGTGAGGAAAGAACAAAGATGAACACATGAAGCCTCTCACTAATACATGCACTGGAACCAACCCTACATCTGTAGGATCCTTGGGCTTAAGGGTCAGTCTGGAAACCCCAGTAATGGACAACAGTGGGAGAATACCTGCCTCTAGGAAACAGTGGGCCAAGCCCTGACCTGAACCTCAGGAAGGTAGTCCTGACCCAGAGCATGTGGCTACATAAGGATCACTAGTACTCTGCTTTCCCCATAGGTTTGAATGGAGAGTAATGGAGCCCAAGCTTCTTTTGCATCATACCATCATGCTCCACTCTAGGGATTAGAAACCCCTAGAAACCTCTCATGAGCTCCTTCCATGACTTTTTCATCCAGGTTCTACAGTTCCTGATTTAAATGGGTTTACCCTAATTTTTTTTTAATGTAACAGGATGCCATTAATCCTTCTAGGTCATAATATCTTGTTACCTTGAGTTTGTGTTCCTTCCTGTTAATGATAACAGCTGTGATCTGCTGGTCCATGAATATTAAGATAGTGCAGAGTAGAGCTGGGATAATTGCAGCTATCACAGTCCACCAGGGATTGGGGCCAATGGGACTAATAATCCACCCTCGATCATCCCTTGTTGGCTAAAGGAAAAAACAAGATCTTATTTTTGTATTTTAACTATAGTTATTAAAGCAAAACAGATTAAACTGAATCATAATATCCACAATTATGTTTATTCCTGAGTGAAAATGCTTTAAAAAAAAAAAAGTCATGAAATACAGCAACTTTTTTTTTCTTTTAGTGCAAGCTCTATCTATTTGAAAGACAGATTTTTACACATTTCCCTTGTCCAGTTATCTTCACCTGCATGCATATATGCTTCCTTATCTTCAGTTACACTCAAGGCATGCTACATGATTCTATTTAAAGCCAGCCTATCCAGTTCTGCACCTGACTCCCTGTCCTTATACTTACTTAAGAACTTCTTTCATTTTGCTACACTCTTGGTTCTTTAATTTTTCCTTTAACCAAAGCACTCCACTCAAATATAATTATTTTATAATGTCTCATATTTAAAGAAAACTCCCATCTGCTCCTCATGCATACTCCAGACACTATCCCATCATTGTGTTCTATTCTATAATACTATAGTGTATAGCAGCTCCTTTGGAAATCTATCACCTTGCTCAGAGTCAAGCTTCAATTATCAACTTCTTATGAAATATTCATTAGTTCTTCATTTCCTTCTTCTGCTCTCCAAACCCTTATGTATAGAGAAAGCAACTTTATCTCAACATTAGCCCAAACAAAATATAATTAACAAAATTTGTTGTCCAATGTAATTTAATAACTTCTAAAGATAAATATAAATAATTTTGACTCTCTTCCTCCTGAAGCCATATAGTGTATGTCTACAGGACAAATAAAGGCAAAGTAGAGCCAGCTGCACGGAATCTTATGGGCTTAGCTTGGATTGGTTTAGGGGCCTTCTCCCATCAGCACTGAAACAGGGGCCCAGGCACTGAAGACTTGGGAGAGGAACCTAAGACTGCTGAACCCGGGTACTTGTTTAATCCAGGACCCTTCCAATGCCCCTCTAAGACCACACTGTTCATAAATCTTATTTGAGTGTTCATGATATACCTAAATTCTCCTAGGTCCTCAACCTCTGTCTCCCCTGTCCAAAGCAGTCTGAGGAAGAAAAGTTCCACTTGTTTGGCAAGCAGCGAATGAGTATAAAGGCCCAGGATACAAGCTGGCCCAGAACTCAAACTCAACAAACAAAGCCATGGCTGTTATATCCAAAGTATTTGTTTCCATATTGGTCATGACTCTAGGATTCAAAGACTCTTCAATAATGTCACCAAGTCCCAAATAATGAATGGGTTAGGTTTTGAATGTTTACAGAATCTTTGTCTCCTTAGTAACAATGTTCTAAGTGGCAATTAAATTGTCAAGCCAACACAAAAACTGATTAAACCCTGACAGACATTAAGCCATCAGTAATAATACTAGCCTTCAGATTGGGTCTTGGTCACTGGGGTCCATGTGGAGTAACAGGGAAGGAAAGAAGTAAGACAATTTCTTCTCTGCTTCCTGAAAGCAAGGCCTGCCAATGAACATTTTCTTTGACATTCTCCCATTTCCCTTTCTCATCCGTCCCATCTATCTCCCAGAGACCTTCTTCCCAGATGTCCCAGGAATTCAGTGCCTTCTGACTATCTTAAGCCTACCCATCAGGGACAGGTTAATGCTCCCAAATTACTTATTTTTACACAAAATCCATTCCTCCTGCAGGGTTGACCTGAGCTAGGTATTAGAGGGAGAGCTGAATGCACTCATTCACACAAAGGTAAGAATGACATATTCTTGGAGGTATTACATTTTTAAAGAGAGTGTTGTTGTTTTTAATCCATGAATTTCTAACTGGTGGCATTTTCAGCAAATTTACCAAAATATAATACAAAAATGTTAGGCCTACTTTAGGAAAAGAGAGAAAGGGAAGACAAAGGCCATTTATAAGTCAAAGACTGCCTTTATTCCTGTCTTCCTTCTCCTTCCCAGCCTCTCTTATCCTCGCATTAAATGATTATTTTCCGGTGACTGAGTATAGCCAGCTTTTCTCTCCTCTCCACCGTGTAGGGATCTATGGAGCTGAGCTCAGCCTTTCCATCTTCTCTGTTTACTCAGTGTCCCCAAACAGAACTGAAGTCCCACATATTGATCATTTATTTTACTTTTTATATAGGTTTCTGGAAAAATATTATGGATTATAGAGAGTTATATAAACAATGAAATAAGGTTAAAGACATGTCATGGTTACTCTGGCAGGAGCCCTACACTCTGGATGGGGACCCGTGGCCAGCTCACCTCTTCACCTGGCAAGATTCTTTAGGGTAGGGGCCAAGTCCTACATTTAGCTTTCTCACCCTTTCCAGTGTCCTCATACAACAAATGGGCACCATATTTGAGACTCCATAAACCTGGCTATCACTGTTTGCCCCTACCCTGGTGATTCCCTGAGACCCCACCCCACCAAACTTATGGGCCCACCCAAGCTGCTTCCGGTGCCTTTTCTATATGAACAGTCTGTCTTGGCTTATGCTTCAGGCTTTCCCAAAATCTCTCAAACAGCCTCTGGCTCAGCATGCCCATACTTCTTGCTAAGTGGCCCCAGGCCCAGCACTAGCAGCAGCCAGCCATGGTTCACAGCTTGGTCTCTCCTGGGCACCTCCAAGCCCAGCATAAGTAGCAGAGAAGATAAGAATAATCCAACCCAGCTGGCGTGGCTCAGTTGGTTGAGCATCATCCTATGATCTAGGAGATCTCGGTACAATTCCCGGTCAAGGGCACATGCCCAGGTTTCGGGCTCGACCCCCAGCAGGGGGAGTGCAGGAGGCAGCTGATCAATGATTTTCTCTCATCATTGATGTTTCTCTCTCTCTCCCTCTCCCTTTCTCTTTCTGAAACCAATTAAAAAAAATTTTTTTTTTTAAAAAGGAAACACACTCATAGATACAGAGAACATTTTGACAGCTACCAGATGGGGGAGGCGTTGGGAGGATGGGTGAAAAAGGTGAAGGGATTAAGAAGTAGAAATTGGTTGTTACAGAATAGTCATGGGGATGTAAAGTACAGCATAGAGAATATAGTTAATAATATTCTAATAATTATGTATGGTGTCAGATGGGTATGAGATTTATCAGGATGATCACTTAGTAAATTATATAATGTCTAATTACTGGGATATATACCTGAAACTAATATTGTATGTCAACAGTAATTGAAAAATAAAAAATGAACAAAATAAACTGACGAACAAAATAGATCCAGAGACATGGAACAGACTGACAAATCTCAGAGGGATGGGGGGGAGGGGGGAGGAGATAAACCAAAGAACTTATATGCATATATGGATAACCCATGGACATAGACAATACTGTGGTGAAGGCATGGAGGGAGGAGTGCAGAGGGTAGGGCATCAATTAGGGGAAAAGGGGATATTTGTAATACTTTCAACAATAAAGATAAATTAAAAAAAAACACGGGATGATAAGAACAGTATGAGATGGGGAGGGAGGGTGATTTCCAGGAGGGCTGTCAGAGAGGGTCTCCCTAGGAAGGAACATTTGACCTGAGATTTGACGATGAGAGGGAAGCTCTGTTTTCCACATGGGGTATGCCATGCGGTGGATATTTGAGTAGATCTATGAGTTAAATACTATGGTGGTCAACTAAACAAAATATGCTTATCATCACCACCACCGTCCTTAATTTCNGTCTGTAATACTTTCAATATAGATAATATAGATAAATTTAAAAATTAAGTAATTTTTAAAAATAAAATAGTTAAGTGGCATTAATGATAGTAAACAATACTTTTTGTTCATTAAGTGAACTGGGGCTTGTCCCTTTCTGACCTAAACTTAGCCAGCCTAGAAAGCCCACTTTTGGGAATAGTAAGGCACAAAGGGCAAGGCTCACAGGCAGAGGGCTGCAAAACTCGTGGCACAGGGTCGGAAAGAGGCCTTTGAACTTAACTCTGAACCCGAATCTGTGAAACTACATGAGGGTACCAAGTACCCAAAAATCTGTTTACCTTGAACACACTGGGAACTTGAAGTTTTGGTGATGGAACTCCAATCAAAAAATCAATAACCACCATTGTGAAGATTGTGAGGAAAACAGCAAAGTCACTCACCATGGAGCGTACCTGGCATGCAAAGGAATTAGAAAAGTGTTTTAGTAGGTTGAATACAGTAGAAGAGAATTTAATATTGTAAAAGGTTTAAAAATCCTCCGAGAATGCTTTAATTTTATACTTGAATTAATACAAGCATATTTAAACAACAGGAGTATGGTAATATGCCCAAGTTAATGCCTCCACCAAAACCCTGAAATGGTTGTTCAGTTCAATGAGTTAAAAACCCAAAAGGCCTTCTTGGCCTATGAGGCCCACACACACTCACATCATTACGTCTCTGACCCTAGCTCCTATGCTCTCCCACTTGTTCACTCTGCTCTAGCACACAGGCCTCACTGTTTTTTCTTAAACATGCCAGACTCACTCCCACCTGAGTCGTTGAACTTGTTCATCCCTCTACCTCAAATGTTTTTTCTCCAGTAATCTCTTGGGTCACTCCTTTACCTTCTTTATGTTCACTCAAATAACACCTTCTCCATGAGATCTTCTCTGAAGACCCTACTTAAAATCGGTTGCCACCCGCTACCCCAGCACTTTCTATACTCCTTTCCTGCTTTATTTTTCTCCATAGCACTTATCACCATTTTGTTCTAAGAGGACTAACCCACTTTATAATTTAGTGTAGCTAAATACAATACCTCTGAAATGCTCAGTGCCTGTCTTAAGCTGAACTTGCAACAGAGATAGAGCAAAATATATCTCAAACACGTTTAACATCACTAATACCTGAACCTGACTTTGCTTTCCTTTGAAATCTGAGCTTTCCAGCTCCCCCTCCCCGATTTTGTTAGTTCTCCTCTGAATGCTACATAAATTCTCTGAACATGTAGCTGTCCCTGCCATGAAGCCCGTCTTGACATTCCTGGGGCCCAGTGGCTCTTCTCTCCTCTGAACTCCTATGGCACTTTACACCCCAGGCTGGTACCCAACTCTTCACTACTGTCTCATAAGGACCTGGTTGTTGCATGTTTCCACTTCTTATCCAGTGGCAGAGACCAGGTTTTTTTGTTTTGTTTTTTAATCCTCACTCAAGGATATTTTTTCTATTGCTTTTCAGAGAGAGTGGGGGGGGGAGAGAGGGAGAGAGAAAAACATTGATGTGAGAGAGACACATTAATTGGTCACTTCCTGCTCGCATGCCAATCAGGGCCAGGGATTGAGCCTACAACAGCGGTGCATGCCCTTGGCCAGAATCGAATCCATGGGCCAATACTCTAACCACTGAGCCAAACTGGCCAGGGTACAGAGACCTGGTTTTAAACTTCTTTTGCATCCCCCATAGCACTTAGTAGTAGTACACAACTGAGCAAGTAGTACACAACTGCCACTTGCTCACTATTTGTCCAGACTGGAAACGACCCAGAGCGCATCCAGTATGTGCCTCCTTAACTATTGTGTAGGCCACTGAAGTCTAAGTATGTGTTTTAGTCACGTATGTGTGTACAGTAAATATTCAATCAACTGAGCCCATCCCCCATTCATACATCCTGCTCTGCAAATGTGCCTGACTGAAACCTCACTTACAGAAAAACCACCAATTCCGCCTGATTCAAGCACCTTTTCAAAGCAATGGCCCCTTCAGTTACTCTACATTTGGCCTATAATTCTGTCCTACCATAACTGGTCACGACAAACAGTGCCATCTGCATCAGAGAAACATTGCTGAGGCTTCAAACGGTCATGCAAACTAAGTCAGGAGCGTTCTCACTGCTGCAGTCAATGTGACCAGTGATTTCATAAGCTAACACAAGAGCCATCCCTGGGAGGAGACTTTGGGATCCCCTACATATCCAAAGCAGTCATCCCAATTAACTATATTAAGGAGCCAGCTGTAACTGCTGCATTCTGGAAATAAAACTTAATAGCATTCTAGATATGAGACTTAATAGCTTTTAGAGAATACTACTCCACCTTAAACTTACCTGGGACTTTTAAATAAAAAAGCTTTTATGTATTAACTCCTCATTCCACATCAGCCCCTATCTATGAAAGGGGCTGCTGGACACTAGAAGAAGAGATGCTACAGTGGGGCTCATCAGACATTTAGAGCTCTCCACTGCCACCCAACTTAGCGAGCAGCCTGGAGGCTGAGAAGAGGCTCTGTTATATTAGAATTCTAACACAAAAGAAATGTATGAACATGCTACCTACTCTGGTTGGGAAGTAGCGGCTTGTCTTAAATGTCTTTAAAGTGCTTGAGAGGATGAAGGTGGTGAAGAAGAGAATGCAGGACCAAAAGAGCACATCGGGAGTATAGGGTCCATGATGGCCACACGCAGATCCTGTGAACTCTCCATGCATCTCCTGGCATTCCTGGAGAAATAAACATTCTGGGTAATGAAAAGCAGGCAGGACGGAATATCTCGCAGCTGCCTTCTGAGCCCACTACTCATGGTTACTGGGGAGCACAAGCTGCCAGCACCACTAACCTCCATGCAGTTGTGGGGCTCTCACTTGCACAGGCCCCTTCCAAGCAGAGTGACTACTTATGGTCTAAGCAAAGACATTTTTGAAAATGAAACCAGAAATCAGAACTGTCTCAAGCCAACATGAGGTTCTAAGAGGGCTCTAGCAATTTGTATTATTTTTATTACAGAGGACTTCCGGATTTGAATGTTCTTCAAGCTCGATAAAACCTGAATCTGCTCCCCAACCCTGCCTGGATTCATCCCCACATATCCTTAGTGCAGGGTCACTGGGTAGGGGGGATCTATTGCATGTGGGAGAGAAAAGAGAGAGAATATTATTTTCCCTTTATGTACAAGAGAATTTTGAAGGGGGGGGAAAGTCAGTTTAAGAATAGTTTAAAAGAATAAAAATGCTTTATTTTTGTAAATGCCAGAGCTTGCTAAAGGGCTTCCCACTTCTACCTAGAAGACCCCTTGTACCTGGTAGTCACAATGCTAGGCCAAATGGCAGCTCCCAGACTTACAGTAACAGTCAGGTTAGCCCAGTGGACTTCTGTTGTCACGATGTTATGGTCTTTCCAATACTGTAGTGTGTGATTGTTTGGATTCTCTGGGACAGTACACCTGCAGCTAGAGGGGAAAAAAAGATTCCTGAGGAAAGCAGTCAACTATTCAATGAATAGTTTTAGCCATGACTGGGCTAAAGGCCCTAGCATCAGAGCCTTCCTTGCTTCTTTGCCCACTTCAGATCCCTGAGGTTGGTCCTATTGGTTGAGGCCCATCTGTAGGCCCAACCACATCCCAATTTTTCAGTCAATCACTAATAAAGATGGACTCAAATCAGTGTGTGGGTCTTGGATTCGACTGTACTGACAACCAAGTTTAGCATCTGATGCACCCAAAATGAGCCCTGGTGGTTTCTTACTTAGTTTCTATCTCTTAGGCTCTTCCTGTGGAATTCCATCTGCATAGCAAGGAGGACATGATAACCCACTCAGCTCTCAACAGCTTCCTCTAAACCTGGATGTCTTGCTCCCTATACCCCTATCACATTCTTGCTCTAAAATTCAGAGTCTCCTGGAATTGTGATGTAAGTTCTTCCTGACACTGAGTCATCCCTGGTAAGCCACTATCTTAGCCATTCCCTGGCTTCCCAGGCTGCTTCTATCTAAATCGGACCAGACCAGATTTGTCCCACTGGCTACCATGCTGCCTCCCAGTCCCAGCATGCTTCATGCCTGAAATGGCCCCATGTAGATTCAAATGATATAGCCATTCCCACCAACTTAATTTCACCTGAGAATTTAATGAGCATGCCTTCTAATAGCATGAACAGATTAAAATTCAAAAAGATCTCAACAGTTTATAAAATAAGAGGAAATCAACAAGATGAAAAGTAATAGGGAAAGCTATAAAGTCCTACATTTAGGTATAAAAAAATCAATTTCAAACTTGGAAGCAACATAGTGTCCTTAGTTGAAATCTAGATAAGTAAATAGATTTCTAGATATCTTGATAACACGGTTCCAGGGTCTCACAGTCCTTACAAAAGTTCTTCCCAAGAACTAATCTGAATTCTCCCACTACATTTGCAGCCTATTTTTATCTCAATGCCTGGAACCAAAAGACATGCTTGGGAGCATTTCTCAAGTCCCATCTGAGTTTCACTCTTAGTCTGTCCTCTCCATCATCAATTTTGACTGTTCTCCTCTGGCAGCCCCCGAAGTCTCCACATCCATACCTGAGCTCTGTTTCACAAAGGGCCAAGACAGTTCCATAACAGAAGCTGTAAGCACTGCCTGACATACTACATTAGTCATTAAACTCAGATCCTTTGCTCAATTTTTTTAAAAAAAGACCAGCAGAAAGCATACTTACTAATACAAGCTAAGATGGTCCAGTTGGCTATGCATGTGGATGGGGTAGGTCTCTGCCAGGTGAATCAGCTTTTCGATTGCTTCATAGATGAAAATAATGCAAATCAGGGAGGCAAATGCTTCTTCAGTGAAGCGAGTAATGTAGCAGACAAGGGAACTGGCATCGGTTGCCACAAGGACAATACATAGGAAGGCGGTCCACAGTCCAATACAAGCACGCAAGGAAAGGTATGAAAGAGCGTAGTCTCTGAAACAAGACCAACATTCATCAAAAAGCATGGCTGAATGGCATTAAAAGACAAAGGGTCAGAAACACTGTTAATTCATCTCATATTATCTATACCAGTATTGCAGCCCAATTTCCCCTTATTCTGACTGCACTGCATTTTTAAATGCTGCCCTGGAACAGTTGTGACAAAGATCTGCTTCATGGATGGTACCTGCTATAGCAAGGACATGAAAAGTGGAGAATTGCACCCCCCATTTCTGCTGTTAATGTCCAACGTAATAAGATCTTATTCTTGCAGTTAAGAAAAAAAAGAGCTGGCTAGCCCTTGTTCCATGTGCTCCTATTTCTACTACAAAATTTTTTTAAAAAATAGTCTATTAAAAAATCAGTTCTAGGAAAAGTAGGGAAATGAGGGCACTGCTGAGCACCCACCACTGGCAACCAGAAAACAAGTTTAAAACAGACTTGAAGTGGAAACAGGGGAGTTTAAATTAGCGAGGGAAAGTTTTTTTAAAGATAAAGATTTCAATAATGGCTGAGGGACAGTAATAAAGCTCTTTAAGACTTGGAGATCTGTGCCCTGGCCAGTGTGGCTCAGTTGGTTGGAGCATCGTCCCATACGCCAAAGGTTGCCATATGTATTCCTGGTCAGGGCACATACCTAGGTAGCCAGTGGGAGGGGCGTATGAGAAGCACCAATCGATGTTTCTTTCTCCCTTTCCCTTCCCCTCTCTCTAAAATCAGTAAATACATATCCTCCAATGAGGACTGAAGGAAAAAAAAACTAGATCTGCTGTTTCAGGTATGGTACCACCTGGAGGCAGGACAACAGACCAAATGATGTTCTTTCTTCAGGTTTTTACCATCCAGAATGATATTTACCTACTTATACTCATCTGGGACCCTGACATTAAACCCTAACAGCACAATAACACATCCAGTTCGAGTTTTCAAAAACCAAGTGTCTTACTTGCAGAATTTGAACAAAATCTTTTCAAACACAAGCACGGGCCCAGTGCTTCCCAGGATGGTGAGAGCCTGTCCCGCAAATAAGGAATAGGCAATCCCAGTCATGGAGGCTCCAAACAAAGATTCAATTGCACTCTGAGAGGAAAAAAAAGATCATTATTGAGTCCACAGCCCATTTGCAATGAGTGATGTGGGCTTATGTACGTCTCTGACTTAGCTCTCATGTGTGCCCTGACGAATCATTTGCTTGTATTTCATCTTAGCAAGAGTGATATGTACACACTGTCTAATACTCCTGTAAATGGTATCACTTTGATAATTCAGAAGCTCAAATCCATCCACATATGATTCCTTAACTAAGTCCTGTTCTGCAGTGACTCACTTCAGTATTTAATAGATATAGAAAGCACATTGATACCATTCACACTACAAGCTGTCATACAAAGTCACCTAAACCTTGTTTTCAAATGACATTAATATATCATTTTCTATCCCTGGAGCAACAGGCAATTCAACTGGGCAATCAGCTACTGAAATTGATATTCAAGCAGAAGTGAGTCTGTTCTAAAGGAAAAACTGTGTTGCTGTGTAGTATGAAGTCAGAATACATAGTAATTCAATAGAAAGACTCCAGTCTCCTTAGTCCTAGCCCAGGCAATTTCTCCCTCAGTGGACTTGGCAGCCACCACAATATTTTAAGTTTTCTTTGGGACCATTAAGAGTGGTTAAAAGTTCTTACTATGCGTCCCTCAGTGGCTTCTCCAAGTAAACCCCCAAAGGTGATGACAGGTGACATGCAGGCACAGTACAGGAACAGAAAGGAGGCCAAACACTGTAAGCTGAGCGCATCCCGGTAGTCACTCCAGTACCAGGGGGTCTTCCGCTTAATGTCCAGCACCAAGCCCCCAAAGAGCCTGTGGAAACACAGAAGACAGGCCTCTAGCACAGTCCCTCTTCTACAGAACCATCATTTAAAGGCACTTCAAATGTCCTCTGTACTGAGGTAATACTTTGGTTTTAATTTGACCCCAAGCACAAGAGATCTGTCTGGGTCAGAACAGATTCTATTTGCAACCAAGGGCATGAATTTAAATGATGATTCCAAGCATAAAAAGAATTAATTTAGGTGTGCATATTACCCACTCAATAGAAAGTGCCAAAAAATTAACATGAAGTATTAGCTTCAAACTTCAAATCTGAGTTGTCAGGAGGAAATGTGCAAAACCAAATCAAGGAATTAAAATCATTAGTTTTATTACATCTTTCCTAGATATAAAGCCTCTTTCACATGCACTTTCCTATTCTAAACAAACTATCCACCTTACGCTTGAGAAATTAGCATAATAATTCATTCATGCAGTTGACAAGTAGTAGCAGATACTTCCAAGCCAGGCACTGAGCCAGGTATTGAAGATGCAGCAGTGAGCAAGACAAACACAGCCCTTCTCTCCAGGACAAAGGTCTAGTTCAGGAGACAGGCTGTGCTGTGAGGGTGTCATGGCAGCATGTGACAGGGAGCAGCATTTCAGCAAGGGCTCAGAGAATGGACCAGGAGTTAGCCTGATGAGGCAGAGGGGCCAGCATGGATGAAACCTAGAAGTGAGAGCACATGGCAGGTTCGAGGTGCTGAAAGAGATATGGCAGGATAAGACAGTGTGAGGGGCAAATACCAATAGCTGAGGCTGGAGAAGCTAGAAAAGTAGAACCACAAAAAGCCTTGGAAACTGTCTTAAGGAATTTAAACTTTATCCTAATGGCATGTCAAGTAGCTAAAGGATTGTAAACAGGGGAGCAAATAATTAAACCTGTATTCTGGAAAGATCACTCTGGTAGAGGTGTAACTAATGGAACATGGGGAAAGACTAGAGGTAGTGGATAGGGATGAAGAGAAGCGGATTGATTCAGAGGCTAATCAGGAGTTAGAATCAACAGGACTTGGTGGCAGGACTTCAAAACCCCTCCCCACTTCCCAAGGATGAGACAGATCAAGTGCAAGATAGCCCACACCAAGGATGAGTAGCGTTCCCACTCTGAGTCACTTCTAAGAGTGCAGTAACTGTACCATGGTGAAAGTTGTTCGGTGAATAACAGAAAGAACCACTGAACTTTCAACAGAGCAATTTGCCTGTTTTCTTCTGCAAATCAGTGGCATAGAAAAAAAGGAGGGCGGGCCGTGATAGAATGGAAACATAATAACCAAATGCAAACTTTGATTGGATCCTATGTCAAACAAATTAACTCTAAAAAGATGTTGCTAAGACAATCACAAAAAGTTGCATATGGACTGAGCAATATGCAAATTTAAAGAATTATTGTTAATTGTGTTAGATTTAATAATGGCACGATAGTTGTTTTTAAAATGTTCTTATCAAAGTATTCATACAACTCAACAAAAGGAAGACAGACAATCCAATTTTAAAATGGGCAGAGGACCTGAATAGACACTTCTCCAAAAGAGGACATACAAATGGCCAAGAGACATATGAAAAAATGTTCAAAGTCACTAATCATCAGGGAGATGCAAATTAAAACAACAATGAGGTACACCTCACACCTGCCAGAATGGCTGCTATCAACAAATCAACAAACAACAAGTGCTGGTGCGGATGTGGAGAAAAGGGAACCCTAGTATACTACTGCTGGTGGGAATGCAGACTGGTGCAGCCACTGTGGCAAACAGTACGGAGTTTCCTCAAAAAATTAGAAATGGAACTGTCATTTGACCCAGCGATCCCACTTCTAGGAATATATCCTAAGAATCCCAAAACACCAATCAGAAAGAATATATGCACCTCTATGTTCATAGCAGCATTATTCACAATAGCTAAGATCAGGAAACAGCCCAAGTGCCCATCAGTAGATGAGTGGATAAAAAAGCTGGGGACATTTATATCATGGAATACTACCCAGCTGTAAAAAAGAAGGATCTCTTATCCTTTGAGGCCCTTTGAGCATGGAAGGACCTGGAGAGTATTATGCTAAGAGAAATAAGCCAGTCAGAGAAAGACAGGTATCACATCATCTCACTTATCTTTGTAATCTAATGAACACAATAAACTGATGAATAAAATCGAACCAGTGGCATGGAAGCACATAACAGAATGACTAATCTCAGAGGGAAAGGGGGAGGGAAAGCGGGAAAAGATTAACCAAAGAAGTTACATGCATATATACACTGCCCATGAACATAGACAATAGAGTGGTGAAGGCCTGGGGCGGGGGTAGGAACCGGATGGTTGGGGACAAGAAGAAGGAAAAAAAGGGGGGACATCTGTAATACTATCAACAATAAAAATAATTTTTTTTAAAAAGTGTCCTTATCAAACGAAGATACATACTGAAGTAGTTACAAGTAAAATGACACACTACCAGTGATTTGGTTTAAAATAATCTAGAAAATATAAAAATAAAACAATCAAGTTGTGAAGAAATAGGTGAAAGAAGACTGGCAAAATGTTGATAACTGTTGATGGGCACATGGGGAGGTTCATTCTACTATCCTCTCTTCCTTTTTATATGTTTGAAATTTTCTATAATAAAAAGCTTTAAAAAGCAATCTACTCTCTCATAAAAGGAAGTTTGGCCAGTCCTTCCCTTTCCTTCCTTCTCCTTTCCTTCCTTCCTTCCTTTCATCGTTTTCATTTTGATAGCTGTCATATTAGAGCCGTCCTTCTGCGCATCCTGAAATCTCTCTCCTTCTAACTTACACTCTTTGCTTTTTTTTTTTTGCCTTAATTATATTTGGATATATTTGTTGTGAAGCACATGTGTGGCATTGAGAATAGCTACTTGGGCATATCCATATGTATACTTGTGCCGTGTGTGAGGACTGTGTAGCTAAGGATTATGTCCAAGAGTGTGAGGGGACAAGAAACTGTTAGCAAGTTTCCATCTCCTCTAGGCCCTCCACCCTCTGTACGCATGAGCCCCCTGGTTTACCTTCTTTCTAGAGCTATATTATTATTAACAAGTGCTACGTTATTCTGCTGAAAAGACCCTCATGCTAACCCTTGTCTGGCTAAGTTCTACTTGTCCTTCAGCTCCTGGCCACGTGTNTAGGGGCCCAGAGGTGTACCACAAGGTCTGGGACCTGTATGCCAGGGGAGAAGGCACAACAAGCTCTCTTTCTCCATTCAAAAGCTCTCTGTCTCGTCTGGCTAGGTACAATGTGTGTGCTGGTAGACACAGGGAAGATGGTGTTCTATCATACCCACTTGCTCTTTTCCTCTGGTTTGGGTGGATACAGTTGGGATTCACCCTTTCTCAATCTATAGCAGTAACATCCCAATGTGGATCTGGGCTTAGGGAGAAAAGCAGAGCCAGTCTTGTGACCTGCTTTGGTTTTAGCCTGCCTGGCAAACCTAACTTAGGAAGGAACTATCTACAGGGTCCAACCTAGAGCACAAGAGATCTGACTCAGGGTTTGAGACCAAGGCTCCCGTTTGTAATAAAGTGTTTTTTCTTGCTTTCTTCTCTGGGTAATTCGCCCTTTAAGGAACTTACAGGCAGCTGCAATTAGTCTGGGGCAAGATTCTAGTGTTTCTGGGTTCTTGGCCAACATAGCATCTTAGCACAACATGAATATCACCTCTCAATCACCAATGCCCTTCCTCTGAAGAGTATTATTCTGAGGGAAGAATTTCCTTCTGCAATAATGAGTCTCACCCCACTTAGGCAACCAGAAATGCTGCCATGATTGGTCATTCCCCTGGACACAGGAGGCACCTTCAGAAAGGAGTGTCTGTGAGTTACAGACAAAAGATTTATGTGAAATGGATTTATGAGAAGCCATAGAGAGGGAGGACATCTGTCTGCCTAGCAGTAATTAAAAGGGGAGAGAAAGAGCTGAAGCTTTTATTGATGGTATACTATAAATTAATAAAATAATTTCTGAACCCTGTTTATGGAGTCAGCTGCATACTTCACTCATGCATAAAATCAGACCATAACTGCACATCTACCACAGATATTAATCAGATATGGGTGCTTTTTTCCACATTTTGGACTTCCTTTCCCTTTCAACACTACCCCTTAATGTTCAAATTTGGGGTGGGAGGCAGGAGCCACACAGGAATATGAACTTAAGTTTGATGCAAGGAAGGACTTACCTGTGTAGAGGGTTACTAGGCTCTGGAGAACTGACTTAGGGAGCCCTTCTCTGGAGGGCTTTAGGGACAGGCCAGCCATTCTTTTGTCTGGTGTGCTTTGGAAGAAACCTGTTTGAAGTGTGTAGGGGATCATGGAGATAGCAGTTCCTGATTCTTTTTTTCATTAACCCTTCCCAAAAGTGGCATCCACAATTAAGTACATAAATCTACCTTGGAAACCCCCATTCCAGAGTATCTTCTCTGCTGTGAAGTGTCTGGCCTAGGAATGCTCTAGTCAGACTCTCCTTTCGTTATGTACAGGAATGCACTGGCCTCGTCCCTACGCCAGCATCAGCGAGGTCTAAGATACTGCCTGAGCCCTGGTTTGGTGATCAGGCGACACAAACCTAAGAGTACTGTTTTCAACTTTGTCTCCTTTCTCTAGTCTTAGGAGTCTACACTACACTTAAAGAGTCTTCAAACACCTCTCCACCCAACGAGGATAATATCCTCAAAGTCTCCAAGTTCTGCCCCAGGCTGTGCACAAAGAAATATAACTAATGGTGAGAAGAATTATAAATCCCAGGCTCATATTTTTAGTCTGTGCAGTCCAGGTGGATCCAGAAAGTTCTATGATATCCATCTGCAGGGGCAGGTTCAGGTTCACCCCCTATATAAATTGAGATTGGGAAAGGGGCCAGAGTTGGCATGGAAGTATGGTCCCTGATAAAGGCATTAGGGCACCCTGGCCTAAAAGGCTACAAACGGGAGCAAGGCAAAGTGTCTTGAGGTCTTTTATGAAGGGCTCTGAAGAGTTTAGGAAGAGAAAGCATCTCTCACACCAAGCACGGACACAGGGAAGACACTGTCCTCCCTCCCTTCCTTCCATTGAAAAGGTCTCTCTCATCTGGCTAGGTAAAATAAGGGCAGACACTGGACAAAACTAGGCTTTGAGCTCAGACAACCCTTCTAATTTCAGCTTTGTCAATTCCCAAAGTTCCTGATGTGACATTATGAGAGAACGTCCTCAAACTCCAATTGAATTTGTGAGTAAAGTCATTTGGGGTTGATGATTAAGCCTGTGATGGTCCTAGCTATATGGAATTTTGGGGGAGTAAGTCAGGCACCATTTCTGAGATTCTGTAACTATTGAAATCCAATCTAATGGTCTCCTAAACCCCCTATGAAATTGATTATAAATGACCCCACTCAAAAGGCCTGGGACCCTAGTTTCTTCTCCTCTGACACCAAAAGAAACCTAAAGTCTTACCTCTACATGAATTATCTGTTTGGAGGAAACCCTGCTGCCCTCATTTCTTCTGCTTTCAAACTCTAAATCCTAGGGGTGTAGATACCCTTTATATTTCAAAGATAAATCATAACTCTGAAATAGTATCAAATCCATACCCCAAGACCCTTCCCCTTAAAAACCAGCACCTCCTCTAAGACAGTCTCAATCCTGGAACCTACTCTAAGGACAGATGCTACCCTTGAACTGCCTCTCAATACCAGGCCTCTCCACCCAATTCAGAACGCTCCCCACCTAAAAGAAAATGTTAAACTTACTCTTAGAGGTTGCTCCTTCTTTTCAGTGACTCCTTCCAACAAAGGGCTCCTCCTTTCATCCAGTGATCCCTCTCCAGGACCTATTTGTCTTTCCCCACCCTCAATACATTCCTCCAACCAAGAAATATATTCCCCCTAACAGGATGTTACCAGTTAAGTGTCATTCTCTCCTGCTCCTCAATCTCATTTCATTTCCTCTCCCTAAATTTCCAAGAATGGAAAAATAAATCACTCTCCACAATTTAAAAAAAAATGCACCCTTGAGTTGCCATTGTGTAGGGTACTGAAGATGGAAAAGTAAGGAAAGCAATTTTAAGGAGGAAAAAAAATAAAGTGAAAGCAGGGGAGTACAAAATGTTAAAAGCTGCTTTCTATGATCTGAGTCTTGTCCTGAGAATCTCCACCCAGCAGGTGATTTCTTAGACAAGCATGACTTACACAGTCAGGACCATAGTCTCAACCTTCTCCCACAATCTAGGGGACACCACCGGATATCACTCCAACCCAAAATATCATCCTCTTTTACCACCTTCCTACCTGGCAAACAAAACCTCCTAGGTCTGGGGACCTGCTTCCCTCACCTATCATAGAGAATCTCCTTCTTAGACATCACTCCTTAAAATCTTGGCCTAGCCCTAGCCAGTTTTGCTCAGTAGTTTGAGTGTCAGCCCATGGACTGAAGGGTCCTGGGTTTGATTCTGGCCAAGGGCACGTACCTCAGTTGCAGGCTCCATCCCCAGCCCCTGTTGGGTGTGTGCAGAAGAAAACCAATCGATGTTTCTCTCACATCAATGTTTTCTCTCTCTCTCTGCCTCCCTCCCTCCCTTCCACTTTCTCTGAAAAGCAATAAAAAAATATCCTCGAGTAAGAATGTAAATAAATAAATAAATAAATAAATAAATAAATAAATAATCTTGGCCTAGAAGAGTATGTTGCCTATTCTGAGACACACACCTAAAAGAGTACCTATTTTTCTACTCCAAGGGAATTTCTTAACATAATCACTCAATACTTATCTATACCTAGTTAGTCCATTCATGTTTCTAAACAGGCATCATTCTAAAAGTATTCATTCATTCATACATTCATTCATTTGATGTTGAGTGCCTGCTCTGTGCAGAGCATTGTGCCGGGTGCTAGCAAAATAATGGGGTCCCTGCCCTTATGGAGCAAACATTCTAGCAGGAAAGACAATGAATCAAACAATAATAATAAAGTATAATAAGAGCTGTGACACGGGGTTGAAGGTAGGGTGGCAGGCAGGCAGGAGACAGAGCTCAAAGCTGTGACACCACATAGCAGGAATACCTAAACTCATCTATAGAGAGTCCTGGAAGGTTTTCCAAAAGAAGTGACACCTAAGCTGAGACAAAGGATAGGTAGCAGTTAGTCAGGAGATGAGGAAGAGGACGGTATTCAAATCAGAGGGAACAGTGTGTGGGAAGAACTGGAGGTAAGACAGAACATGGTAGGTAGTCTGAGAAACCTGAATGAATGAATACAATATTGATATATTCATAATACTTACAGTCAATGGTGCCATTTGAAAAGTCATTCCCAGACAATTAAAATCCCACAGAGAAGAAGGCTGAAAGCAGAGGATGACTCACTCCTTTACACAATGCTGCCCAGCAAGCAGTATCAGCTGTGAAACACCCCAGAACTTACCGCCCGGTGCGCTGAAGTTCTGGCCCGCTGTGGCCCCCATGTGGTTCTGGTTCTATGTGGCAAACGTTTCCATTTGGAACTCCAGGCATTTTCCTTTTCTCCTTTTAACAGATGACCACAAAATTAGCTAAGTCAGCCATCTATTCTGTTCTTTCTACTAACAGCGGGGAGTGGTAAAATAATCCAAAAGCAGCTAAAAAATACCCAAGTGTTTGTAGCTTTCAAATGCATTCATTGATTTGGGGCAGTTTACTGACTTTCTGAAAAACAAACAAACACATAATTTCTCCTCCTCTCCACAAGTACCTGACTTCTAACTCTGCCTTGCCCAGAAACAGGAAAATGGAGGCTTTGGCATCAGATATAACCTAAGGTCCAGTTTCAAATCTGCCTCTGTATAATCTTACTTTACCTTAAAACCTTGAAGATGGTTTTATTCCTTATTTGTAAAACTAAGGATAACAATACCTATTTGGGGATGTTGCTGAGAAGATTGAATCAGCATATGTAAGGCATCTGGCTTACTGTCCATTGCATGGTAGGAGTACTATGCCCATTTTTAACCTGTCAAAAAAGTATGGGGCGCCCAGCCGGGTGTGGCTCAGCAATTGAGTGTCGACCTAGGATCCAGGCGATCGGGGTTCAATTCCCAGTCAGGGCACATGCCCGGGTTGCGGGCTCGATCCCTAGTCGGGGGCGTGCAGGAGGCAGCCAATCAATGACTCTCATCATTGTTGTTTCTGTCTCTCTCCCTCTCCTTTCCTCTCTCTGAAATCAATAAAGATATATTTAAAAAAAAAAAAAAAAGTATGGGGAACTCTATTTGCTCTCTATATACAACTTGCTCTTTGCATTTAAAATGGCTTCATTCATGATATACTCACAAAATATGTCCTTCCCTCTCCTCTCTGCCATTCCACATCAATTCTTCAAAAGTTGGCCTAAAATTCATCCTGTGTAATCCTGACAGACCCTATCACACCTGAGCCAATCTGTATTATTGCATATTCATCTTTATTACTGTACTGACATTCTAGGTGCCCCAAACAGGGTCATGGGTCAACTTATTTAGCATATACCCAACATGGCCTTTGCTTTTGTCCATGGTTGGGCACTCAGTGACACTAAGCCACCATTGGCTAATGTGCATACATTACCTGGGAAGGGACGTTTTTGGGTGGCTCAATTCTAATGGAGGGGTCCCACTCCCCTGGAGGGAGCACCGTCACCTGGTCTAGGAACTCATCAATCCCCGCCAGGAGATCATCTCTCTCTTTTGCCTTATATGCCACATCATGAAAAATCTACAAAGAAGAAAAAACCCTCAGGAAAGTTGAAAATGACTTTACTTAAAGCAATCACCAATGGACATGGTGAAGAATGAATACCTTCTCTTGATTTTACTTCTGTCATAGGGATCTGAAATGTAGAAACTTTAGCACTTAGAAAAGTATAAATATAAAAGGATTTTTAAAAATGAACCTAAAGATGAGATAAGTCAAAAAGAACTGAATATATATCTATATAAGAAGAGATAAGACATCTGCATCATTCTTACATTTGTATAAGACATTCTATAATTCTACAGCTGTATAATTCTGTTATCTCCTCAAAGAATGGAATAAAAAGCAAAGTGCATGGGAAAATTTTCCTGATCATAATGGTTGGGAAAACTGGATGGAATTACTAAGGTCCTCTGTGAAACAAGCCTCCCAATCAGAGAGCTGATTAAATACAGCCCCATTTCCTCTGCCTGCTAAGACATATGCCTTGAAACCCCTGCTTTGCAACTTACATGAGCAGCAAAGTCCTTATGGGGTATTCAGGAGGGGTTCAGCCCCATGGCAGTCAAAATGTCTGGCTGCCTCGGTACATTTGCATTACCATGCCAAGCATAAACCCCTGACTTATACAAAATGGTCTCATTTATGTGGAACGGGACTGAGGTTCCTTCATGTAAATAGGTTGGATGCATTTAATTAACAATCCTCTTCAGAAAGTTAAGTCAACCTTAATATCTTTCTCTCTTAAGTAGTCTACTTGGCAATAATAATTTTCCAAGAAAAAGATTTCTTCTGCACCCTTGATTCTTCAAAAAGGGAGAGATGACACAGGAAGAAATATCCCCCCAAAGGGCTCAGTCCTCCCACAATAAGAATTCAGAGAAGTGACCTGAACTGTTTCCCAATCGAGATTGCAATTGTAATTATTTTATCCCCAACAACTGGCACAGTGCCTGGCACAGAGTAAATACTCAATACATATTTATGAGATGAATGAAGTGGCACATACCTCATCTGTCATGATGGTGGCCATGGATCTGCCAATCTCATGGTACTGCTGACCCTTCCCTACTGGACCCAATAGGATAAACAAAAATCTGGCAACACATACAAAGGACAAAAGTATGTAAGTAAACATAAAGAAGTGGCATATTCCTCCTCTCTAAACAGCAGAACATTTATCTCTCCTATCAAACAGAAATCATCATGGTACCTTCAATAAAAAGAGGCAGACTAATGATGGAGCAATATGAGCTGCTTTGACCTAAAAGCTCCACTATGGGCACTGGAAGCTATTTGTATGGCTCCATTAATAATGTGGTTATAAATCTTAGGATTTTCATAGACACTATTCCTTGCCATAGAAAAGACACTTTTTTAAAACATGGCATTGTAATGCAAATTCAAGGTTATCTGAATCTTACTGATTGCTCTAATAAGAAAATGATGGGGAGAGGATAGGAATAAGGAAGTTGAAATTATCAAGCCCTGAAGAAGAGTCTAAATTGTATTCTGGACATGTGAATACTGTGTAATTAATAGGGCTGAGTCACCTGAATCACCACCTTCAGAGTGCATGAATAGCCTTTTGAACAAATGTGGACATATCTGCAAGCCAAACAAATCCTGCCAGACAGTGGAAAGAGACATCAATGCCTTTGCTCAGAGACATTTCCCTGGGATACAGCTCTGTAGAACTAGGAGGGTAACACAGTCCCTGCTATGTCCTTTGAATGTTCTTCAGTTTTCCATTTCCAAGGCCTCAGATATTGTACAGTCATAGCCTTAAAAGTCTTAAAATTCTGCATGGAGGTTAACCAAATATACCCCAGTGAAATCACTGCTGAATTTTAAGCAGCATTCCCAAAATAATTAATTATCCTAAGTTTTGCCATTAGCTGATTTCTTCCCCTAGCGCTCACACAAATCTGTACTTTGGATAGAATGCACTGAGTCACACAGTCTTTCTCTCTACCTTGTTGGGATGGGCACTTCTGTCAAGCCTGAGAGAAGAACAGCTGGAGACAGCCTCACAAAGGCAACGATGGGGCGATCCAGAGTATCTACCTCGCCAACCAGGACGTTTGAGGCCTCTGCCCCAGTGGGAATTTTTTTCATGAAATGAAGGTCTACCTGAAAGTTCAAAAGAGCCTCTGAACCTGAGAGCCAACCCATCACCTCAAATGTCAATCACCATCCTCATGCCTTACATTCATATGTCATTTCATGATTTAACAAATGTTTTCTCATTCTATTTCATTTGATACTTACAAGAACTCTGTGGATAAGACATGTCTTATTAGCAGCATTTTTTAATTTAAAAAATGAAGGAAATGAGACCCAGAGAGGTGAGGCTGACTAGCTCAGGACAACAGAGCTTTTAAGAGAGAGAATTTAAATCCAGGTGTTCTGATTTGAATTCCAGCACACCATGCTTCCTCAAAGAAAAATGTTTTTGAAGCTCTAGGTCAAATTTTTTCCATTTTAACATACTTGAATGCTTTGTCAGAGGTTTCAGGTTTTTATAAGGCTCCTTGCCTTATGAGCAGAGATGTGACCTGACACTATGCATGTTTTAGAAAGATAGTGTCAAGGACAGGCCAGATCAAGAAAAGGCTGGAGGCAGGAGATCATGGCTTAAACCAGAAACTGCAGTGAGGCCTCGGATACCAAAGTCACAGTCCCAACCACAAAGCAGTTTTAGGAGACAGTAGCAAATGTATTGTTTTGACAAAACCCCTGGAGGTAAGGAGGAGCTGCTGGAGAGCAGGTACCAAAAAATATATCTGAAAAATCAGGAGGTCTGTGTGAGGGAGGATTATCTGTGGCAAGTCCCAGTTTCAGCATGTCGAGCCTGGTGAAACAAACTGATGAGTCAGCCCCATCCAGGCTGGAGTAGAAGGAAAAAGACACAAGCAGACGGGCCTCTTTTTCTACAGAAGAGGCTCTGGTCTTGGAAAAAGGGTGTTGCAATACCAAAGCTCTCTAGAGGTACTCTTAGGCCTATAAGCCAACTTCCCATGTCTCCGCTCACCTTGCTTAAATCCACAGGACTGTGTTCACAATTCACTCCATTTTTTACTTCAAGGTTTGTAGTTGGAACAGACTGAGGAGACACAGTTTGACCTATTTGGAGAAAATCAAAGAGAATTCTCTGAGTCCCTGCCCTTTCCACCTCTAACACACCTCATTCATTATCGTTTGGCTATGACTATCTCCCGCAAAGCCCACACAAAGAGGTTAAGATGATTAAGAAGCTAGGACCACACATACCTATCTCCTTATCTACTAATTAGTGCTTTAAGGAGAACAGAGGTATTACCATTCCTGCACCCTCTTCTTGAACACCTTTGTTATCCTCTTTTCTTCCTCTATTAAGGTAGCAATCTTTCACCAGGAATGCATATCAGAGACTCCTATGGAGAACTTTTCAAATATATAGATTCCCAAGCATATCCTCTGTACACTGTAATTCAGTACATGTGGAGACAAGGACACCAATCCAGGTTAGGCCCTGCCTGGCCACAGAAAATGAACCCAATCAGCAGCTGAAATTCATTGAGTGCACCTGGCTAAGGGCCTTACGTGAATTAAGTTATTGAAACCTCACAATAAACTTATGGAGTTGAACCTATTATTATCCTCATTTTACAGAGAAGAACATGAGACTTAAAGAGGTTTAGGAGGTTTCCCAAAGTCACACACTTTGCAAGTGGTGAAGCCGGAATCTCAAACCTAGAAGTCTAAATCAAGAGTCTACACAACTGTATTTTGACTCCCTAAACTAAGACATTTGTTTACTCTTTTAAAATCTCCAACTGAGCCCTGGCTTGTGTTTCTCAGTGGTTAGAGCATCAGCCCACACACCAAAGGGTCGTGAGTTCGATTCCCAGTCAAGGGCATGTACCTGGGTTGCAGGTTCAGTCTCCAGCCCCAGTCGGGGTGAGTGCGGGAGGCAACCAATTGATGTGTCTCTCTCAAATTGATGTTTCTCTCTCTCCCCCCATCCCTCCCTTCTACTCTCTCTAAATCAATGGGAAAAATATCCTTGGGTGAGGATTAACAACAACAACAACAAAAATCTCCAGTTGACCTTTTCTGGCCCCAAATTATCCCCAAAGTGGATATCTCCCAAAAACCACATCAGTTCTGAGGCAACTCTGGGCTACAAACCTCTCACCCTGGGTCCACTGAGCTCTATCTGAGGCAGGCATCCCTAGTGCCACAAGCGATAGATAGTCATCAGTCCCAGCCAATCACAAAAAGTAGTGTCTAAGTGAGCATGGAAGCATATTAGATAAATATAGCTCCTACCCTCTAGTAACTTAGTATCTCCAGCTAGTTCCTAAGTGTCTGATTAAAAAAAAGAGAAAACAGTCACTCCTAATAATCTTACCATTTTTGTCCATTGAATGTGGATCAGACTGCTTCTTGCCAACCTCAGCAAAGGAGCGAACAATGGGAATGAGGTTATTTCTCTTCTTTTCATTCTGATGATGATGCTTTTTGAGAAGAGCTTCCCGTACTTTAACCCTCATGCTGTCACTCAGGTCACTGAACAGTTCTTGCTGGTCCAGGACCAGGTCTGGAAAACAGACGCTAACATGAACACTCTGATGGCCAGTGGACCCAAAGAGACCAACGTCACGTGGAGTAAGAGGTGAGGGTCAAGGAGTAGGGAGAGGCAGTTCAACCATTGTCAGTGAGATACAATTTCCTCTTCAGTGCCTGAAATAGTTATCTGATGACAGCAGCTGTGGCAAGTTATACTTCATTCATATAGCAAATCATTATTATTAGAAATAGAAACTACTGAGCACTTTGTATGTGCCAGGAACTATACTAGATTTTCTAATCTGATCCTTATAAAAACTCTGAAAATTGGCTGGTATAATGATGTCTACAGATTAGGAAACTGAGGTCCAAACATTACAGAAATTCCTCAAGGTCTCACATCTAGTAAGTTGCAGAGCTGGGATTCAAACACAAGACTGTCTGACTTCAAAGGCCACAGTATTACCCATTTTGTTCTGTCATCTACAAAGGTTCTCTATATTCCCTTCCTCCAAGAATCCATTGCTGTGATTCATCACTGGCCTGAATACATCAGGTACCTAATGTGGAAAACAATAGCAGTTTTATTTCAATCCTACCTACCTACTCCCAAGCCTCCCCCAAACTTCAACCTGTTCTCAACTCCAACTTCACCCATAACTATCCCAATGCTAGTAGCAATAAATAAAGAAAATCTATTTCAAATATTCAATCCAAAGATCCATGTTCCTCTATCTTTAACCTTTGTTTGATTGGTTCTTTGCCCCCATTTTATAAACATACTTCAGGATCCTTCATCTTGGGGGGGAAAAAAAAAAAAGAATATCTTCCCCAAGTCCTCCTTTATCTATTTCATCGATTTCTCCCCCTCTCTCCCTCCCTCCCTCCTTCCCTCTCTGCTATCACTTAAAGTTCTCAAAACAAAAATTCTTCAGCGCACTACAATTTGGCTTCTTCAAAGAAACTGCTTTTGATAAAATCATCAATAACTTTCCACTTGCTAAATCTGATAGATGTTTCTAGTCCTTCCCTAACCTGACATCTCTGCAGCATTTGAAACTGATGAATTAAAACTCTCTTCCCTTTTGCTTTTTGTAGTGTGTTGAATGGTGGCCCCCTAAAATATATGTCTATATACAACCCCCAGACCTGTGAATGTGATTTATTTGTAAAAAAAAAAAAGGGGGGGGGTCTTTGCAGATGTACTTAAGGATCTCCAGACGAGATCATCCTGGATGATATTGACAAATATCCTTATGAGAGAGACACAGATCCTTGTAAGACAGACACTAGAAGCTAAAGCTAGAAGCATCAAGGAATAACTTTCCCCTAGAGTCTTGGGAGGGGACACAGGATCCCATCAATGCTGACCCCTCCCTTGGGTCCCCATGTGATCCCAGAGAGGCATTACTTGGATACTTTAAATGGAGAAAAGTTTGGAGAAATCCTTATTTAACCTGTCTAGCCAAACCAAGCTAAGCTGAAGGAAAAATCCTCACATGCACCCAGATGTTTCCCAAACTCCATTCCCAAAACATAGTATCATAACACTCAACCACTCCATGAAACTCCATTAGACATATCCCCTTCGTATCTTGCTGAAGAAGTGGGGGTACTTTGGCTCAGTTTCTTACATGTCTTCCCCAACTGCCATATTTTTAAAATCTTTAACTCCCTTTTCTCTGCACAGCTCCTAGTTGCCTCTTTCTCTAATTATCAAAACATATCTCCCACTGTTGCACTTATATTGTTCCATAGCTATTTTTCCCACTAAAAGATGAGCTTCTTGAAGGTAGGAGCTGCATTTTATCTTTATTCCCCAGTGCCTACAATATAATCAGGCATAAATGAATACAAAATAAATTTTTGCTGAATGAACAAACAAATGGAAGACTAAACACCATGTCATTTGAATCCCATAAGTCTGTGAAATAGCTGATTTCTTAGTTTGAAACCCATCCCACTGCTGAGAATGTTGAGGTCAGGAACGTTAAGTGACTTGCCTACGGACACACAGCCACTTGATTCTTTCCTCTATACCACACTTCTTAATTTGCACAAACATTCCTCTGTTTTCCTTCACCTAACCTTACCTGCAATTTCTTCTATGCTATTTGCACGCATATCCAGAAGGACCGTTCCATTAATAAGGCAGCTCCTTAGCTCAAAGAGACTGTGCAATGAAAGGGTTGCCACATAGGGCTTGCTCCAGCGTTCTCCCCCATCCTCAACATCTTCTTCAAACTTCAACCACCTGAAAGCATTACAAAGAACTAAATGCCAAAGACAGAAAGTGAGGACTTTTCAAGAGAGAATCTTTAATGTAAGTCACAAAGAAAGATATGTGAATAATCACACTGAACACTGTAACCTAATCTCTATGTTCAGGGTACACTGCAAAGTGAAAACAGCAGGCTATAAAACAGTGCAAGCCCTAGCCGGTTTGGCTCAGTGGTTAGAGCGTCGGCCTGCCGGGCCTGGTCAGCGTGCGTGCAGGAGGCAACCAATCAATGTGTCTCTCTCACATCAATGTTTCTCTCTCCCTTCCACTCTCTCTGAAAAGCAATGAAAAAATATCCTCGGATGAGGATGAAAATAACAAAAACCAGTGCAAGATTGAGTATAGTTTAATTCCATTTTCATTTAAAGAAATTTAAAAAAACAAAAATGCATACATATATATGACACCAAATATTATATTCCTCATTCTCCCTGGGATTCTGCACATAATTTTCATTTTCTAATTGCTTATCTTTATTTTCTAATTTTTTATGATGAGCATGTATTACTTATGCAATTAAAAATAGATCTAATCTCTATCATTTGGATACATTGACAAATCACATTAATAAAATATTTTCTTTCTTAAAGAGCCTATCCATGTGACCTTTAGCAGTTTGCAAAGACAGAATGACAAGACTAATTGTTTTTTCACTTAGTATCAGGTCGCTTGGCTTGTTTAATCCTCTCTACCTGTAGAAAACATCCACATCAGCAGGCATCCAGGAATAGCTGTTCCAATAGGAGCTGGAGCCATGCTTTGCTGGTTACCCACATTGCCTCTTACCCCAACGCTCAGGCATGCTAGCTTTGTGTGATACATAAGGCTCACTGGTCAGTTACTAGAGGAGCCTAGACATGGCCCTGGTTAATCTAGGTGCTCTTTTTGGGTCTGATCCTCAGACAAGCACAGCCACTCTACAACTACCCCAGGAAGCTTACTATCAGACAGGCTATAATCTCAAGGGTCTCCATGAGGTTGGATTGTCCCATAGGAAGTTAAAGTCTCAAAAATTCTGGGAATTCCAGTGAATTCAAACCCAAATGACTCTATGGTTCACCTGCAGGAAAAGTCTGGACCTGTGCTCTGTCTTCTGGGCTAGTCCAAACCAAGGTGGCCCTGTCAGGCGTCTTCTAAACCAGACCTATAATATCAAGATAGCCCATGAAGTACTCTGAGCCCCAAATAAATGAGAGAGGACTTCAATCCTAGGCTCAAGGTGAACTGGCATAGGTGTGACCAGAGACACCACAAAGAGGCCAATATCAAGACTCTCCACAGAATACTCTCGAACATCAGTCCCTAAGTCAGTCATCACTTCTCCCATGAAGAAATAAAAGACAAGGCAGGCCTGTCACTTGCTGAAAGGTAACACTGCCTACCCAAGCAAATCCTGACCCAGTTTATTTTAGGGCCTTACCTGGCTGTCTCTTTCCACTCAGCATCTTCTCCCTCTTTCACACAGATCTCATCCAGCTCTGTGAACAGCTCGTGAGGAACATGCTCTTCATCTTCCTCAGTGCCAAGAATGAACTGAACACGCTGAGATGGTGTGTCTAGAAAATCAACCACAGAGAAAGGTCTGCTCCCAGCCTCAACTTAGAGATAGAATTCTGCCATACTTAGCGCATCTGGGGGCCTTAAAACTTCAGTAACATTAGATAATTCTGAACACAGATCTGAAAATTTTTTCTTTATTCCCAGAAAATTTTTAAAAATCTCTTCTGTGAAAGCAGTTTCATGGGAGGAAAAATTATTAACTAAGACCACTTGAAGAAAACCTGCAAAAAATTGGAAATCTGATGAACCTGATCAAAAGGAATGGCTCGTTCTCTGGCAGATGATTTCACCTAGTATGGTATTGATTTGGGGGCCTGAACTGTATAGTTTTCATGAAGACAATTTTGATTCTTAGAAGCATTTCTTGGAAGCAAGCTCTGAAAACTCAACAGAAGGGCTAGAGAATCAAGACCACCTGCTTAATGTCCATCACACATTCCCTTCAGCCTTACCAATCCTCCCAGCCATGGACACTCACCCTCTCTCCCAAGGGTGATACCATGGGCCAGGGCCTCCTGGCCTTCCTCCCCTTGGCTGGCTCCTTTGCCCCGGCCTCTTCTCCGGTGCTTCTGGCCATGGGTTCGGTGATGCCGATGGCTCTGCCGGCCCAGTGGCATCCGAACGCCCACATACAGAGTTCTATGACCTGAAAAGAAGCAGAAAGGTCTGTAGAGAAAACCCCTTTAGTAAAAGGAGTCTAGCATCTTTAAGGGGGGGCAGGGAGGGATGCACAGAGATTACAGTTCTTTGGCCTGGTCACAACACTGTAATGATAAAACTTCAAAGACTTCCAGAACTAAGAATATAGAGATCTTGGAAGTTCTCCTTTGCTTGCATACAGCTGCAAACCTCACAGGAATGTTGTTAAGATCAAAGGAAACAATTACATGAACATTAAAGGCCAATACAAATGCTAGTTGTTATTACAACAACAATCTGATCAATTGTAAAACAGCAATATAGTCACTTTATGACAACTGCAACAAGTCTTGGCAGGGAGGCAGCTCAGAAAAGTGGTTAAGTACTCAGGTCAACTGGTCTGGGTCCAAAACTCAACCTCATCATTTACTAGCCTTGTGACCTTGAACAAGTTATCTAATCTCTCTGTGACTGTCTTTAAAAAGGAGTACTGACAGTTTATCATTTAAACTCAGAAGGGTTTTGTGAGCAGTAAATAAGATAATGTAAGTAAAATGCTTAACACAATGCCTGGAATAAATTTTAGCAGCCAATATATTCTAGGATCAGTTTCTTTTTTTTTTTTTCTTCCTCCTGCACTGTAGAATATACAATGTAGAATAGCTTGAGAGACTAGTTACAAATCAGGGAGCATAAGGCTGGGTTTATAGGGGGAGATATGAAATAATTGTACAAAAAGAGGGGAACATGAAAAAATGACCCAATAGCATTCCTCTCTAGTTCCTCCTTTCCTTACTCGCTCATTCCCTCTATAAACCTTATTTTGTTCTCTTCATGACTTCCAGGCATCTCTCACCTCTACCTGGCTTCATTAGCCTTCCTGTCTGGCCTGGAGCCCAGAATCAGAAGCTTCCAGGATGCTCCCACCCCTCCACACACACAGCCTCGGTCTTCCCCATTTCTGCTGTTACTGCTGATCATCACTCTAGATCTCAGGCTGACTCCCAACATCTTCCATCACAAAAGCTGTTCCAGTCTTTAGTCACTGTCTTCAATCCACATTGCCTCTCCACATTGCCTCTCTCTGAGCAGGTGACCTTGCTTCATGTTTTAATGGGAAGACTCAGGCCCCCTCATGTAAGCTCCTCCACCTCAGCCTGGCTCACTTTCCTCCTCCAGTTTCTCCTCTTTGCCAGGCTAATGAGCTTTACCTCCTAGCCCTGGAGTTCTGCTCCATCAGTTGTCCTCTGTCTCTCCTTTCCATCCAGCCCCTCCACAAGTTTCTCCTGAGTACACACATTCTTATCTTAAAAGAAACTTTCCCAATGCAATGCTACTCTCCCAAGTTCCTGCCTTGTCTTCTTTGCTTCTCCATCAAAACACTTTCAAGAACAGTCTATCAACTTAGCTCCCTTTCCTCACCATCTCCTTGTTTGATAGTCAATGCTTGTAACCACTCTCCACTGAAACTGCCCTCCTTAGGGACACCAAAGACCACCTAATCTCTAACACCAAATCTCTATCTTACGTCTCTCAACAAGAAGACTTCTTGAGAGCCCACCAGGTTCCACGCAGTATCCAAATCCCTTGACCACTGCCTCCCCTTGGTGGTCTGGGCTCCCTTAGTGCGTGTCCCACTGCCCTCCCCAGCTCGCCTGCACGTCCCTGACTGTGTTTCTTCATCCCTTCCACAATCCCACCATCCACCAAAGGAAGGCTCCCTGGATTTCCCTCCTTGACCCTTTCTTCTCTTCTTTCAGTGATATTTACTCCCCTGATTTCAAAGTTCACTTCTACAAATGACCCCCAAATCTTTATCTAAATGATTCAATTATGTCCCAAAGCAAAGCACCATCCTCCATCTCAAATTAGGCTCATCTATTCATTTCCTCATGTTTCTGTCCATGGCATCACCATTCTCTCAATTTTCCAGGCTTGAAACCTCAGAATTACCTTAGATTTCCACCACTACCCCTTCCCCCTCAGGGCTACATCCTATAGGTTAGGGCTGTCAAGTCTGTCTCTCCTCCCACTTGGACAACAGCAGGGGCCTCCCTCCTTTCCCCCAGCACCAATTCAATCCTACAACCAATCCTCCTGCAGCACTTCTCTGATCACTGCTCACTCCCACATGGTCACAGCATCCTTTATTCTCCGGCATGCTCGGGGTCCCAACCTCCTTTCTAGTTTTTTCTTCCTCTAGGACAAATAATACATTCAATAGGAAAATAAAGGGAAAGGCCCCTAAAAGAACTGAGTGACAAACGTGAAAATCTTACACATTGAATAAATGTTCTGGGGGTGAGGAGATAGTAACAGAATGGCTTGGTTTTGACTGTCTCCTCCTCATTGCCTTGGCTGCTGAACCCATCATCATCTCACACTCTTTCTTCTACCTAAACCAAACCACTATTCTTCAAATCTGCCAATGCCTTTTGGACACTGATGTGGCTCCCTCCTTCAAGATTCAATGCAATGCACCTTCCTTCTTGGTATTATTCCTGATCTCCCTGATCAGATGGGCCACCTCCTTTCTCTAAATCCCCAGAGTCCTTGCCTAGCATTCTCTTGTGCACTCATCTTATGCCTTGCATTACAGTTAAGCCTCTATCAATATCATCTCCCACTATTTATTTGCAAGCTCCTCAAGGTCCCACGTCAGACCTTCTTCCTCTTGGAATCCCTCACATAACAAAGCCCAATGTCTTATACATGCTCATCCTTCCACAGATCCAGAAAATGGAATACTTCCTAAGTGCCTCCACTAGGAACATAAACCCTTAGAACCTCCTCAGGAGAACATAAGATAACCTAGGATGAAATACTTACCAGGGCATGTGAGGAATGAGAAAATCCTAGCCAACCTTGTAACTGAAAGCTTAATTTAGGAAGACCTCCTAGATAAGTAGGCTTCATGGAAAGAGTTACTTCTTCCCCAGCAATGGAGTTTCCTAAGATTGTGTTCAACTTCTTCTTTGGGGGTTCCTTCACAGTGCTCTCTACTTCCAAGTGGGGTTAAAGTGCCTTGGGGTGCTGCTCCAACACCCCTTTATTTCTCCTTCCTTTTCTTTGTTTCTTTATTTCTCCCTCCTTTTCTTTGTTTCTTTATTTCTCCCTCCTTTTCTCTGTCCTCCCCTGTCTCTCAATTTCCAAAGTGAAAAAACAAAATAAAAAAGAAACAGTGAGGATGGGAAGATAATCAGAGATTAGTTAGAGTGTTGAGAGGCAGACAGGATAATAAAATATTTGGATCTGGTAGAATCGCACCTCTTACACACCTACTGTCTCAGGACAGTCCTGTTGACTTGGGCACACCTCAGACATTGGAGAGACAGATTTCTACACATAATGTAGTTATCTTGAAACTTTATTGAAACAGAAATACAGAGCCAGAAGAGGTCATTTGCTAAGATGAGGGATTTCAGACCTCTGTCATTATCAGTGAAAACTATAAAGTGTGAAAATTACTAAATTAAGTACCATTTTAATAAAATACGATGTTAACTAATAATGTTCGACTATAATATTTAATTAGGTCTCTGCAGTATACCACTGAGGTCAACCCAGGCTGGGTTGTGCCAGGTCTTGTTCCAAGGGCTGGGGATACAGCAGTGAACAGCACAAAATCCCTGTCTTCAAGACACATATTCTAGTTGGGGAGGACAGACATCATAAAAACAAAAACATATTATTTCAAATATTGATAATTATTATGAATAAAATACAATAAAGTACTAGAGTGTCTGTGGTGGGGGTAGGATGGAGAAGGGAGACTTTAGCTAAGATGATTAGAAGAGACATCCCAATGATGAGAAGGAAAGGTCATGAGAAGACCTGGGAGAAGAGCATTCCAAGAAGAGGGAAGATCAAGTGCATAGGCCCTACAATGGCAACGTGTGGGGCTGGTTCCAAAAGAAAAGGACAGCCAGAAGGGCCAGAGCAAGGTGAAAGAGGAAAGGAGAGGAGGAGGAAAGGTTAGAAAGACCGACATGAAGAACCTGTAGGCCATGAAAAGCATGATTAGATCCTAGAGAATCACTTCAACCACCCCCTAAAATAGTGACCTAAGTGTAAAATCAGGTGTGTCCTAGTAGAGCTGGACTTAGGTGAAGAACAGTCTGAGGAGTAACTTTCAGTCCTTCAATAGAGCCAATCTAACCATCCTAGCAAATCCCCCAAAGGTTACTGGTCAGGGTAGGCCCTCCACTTCTCCTTAAGCACACTCCAAATGCTTCCACTGGGCTCGTGCTTGTATGTTGTTAGTATTGTTTAATTTTAACTACATTCTAAAGAGAAATTGAGGAGATTGTGATTAGGTATTAGGACCCATCTTATCAGACCTCATTTTTTTGGTTAATTTACTCACTAACACTATCAAAGTGAAACAAGAGGTTGGACCAAATGACTTCTCAGGTCTTGTCCAAATGATGGTTAGTCCAGGTTGTAATATTCAAGACCTAGGAAAGTCCCAGGCTAAGGCTTTCTTTGAAGAAGTCACAGTGGTTCAATTGTTCTCACTATCCTTATTTACTGCTGCAAAAAGAAATTATAAAAGGGCCTCAGTATTTACTCAGTTTGTTGAGTAAATAATGTTCGGTTTTGCTTGATATTTAAATTCCCATTAGGCAGGTCTGTAGCATAACAGGGAAGAATCCTACAGATGCCTCTGATGGCTCTGTAGGAAGTAAGGTAAAGCTTAAATCTTAGAGAAAGAAGACTCCTCCTTCTCTAAGTAGTTTTTTTAGTCTAATCAGTTCTCACAAACTTTAGCCAACCACGTGCCTGCCTTTTGAAAACACCAGCGAGACAAGCATTAATGAAAACAAGCCCCAGCAGAGGTCAGAGCTAAGCAAGACCAAGTAGCTATCAGAAAATTACCCATCTGTTTCTAGGCTGGGAACTCTGAAGCAGAAACTTGGATTTTCTGAGTGAAATCAGCAGAAAAGATGACAAAAAAATGGACACTAGGAAATTAATATAGCACCAATAAAATTCAGTCCTAACTGGATTCTGGCAGTGTGGTGACTTCACTAAACTAATTCCGTGGTCACTTTGCTGGCCATTCAACTGCTCTCCTACCCTCACAACCTTCATCCCCCCCCCCCC